TAAGCATTTAGGTTGGTAAGCGCTGAAGTTTCTGTTTCATAACTGATTTGTTATTCGTTTGAGTTTTCGTATTTGTCTTGTTAACTTGAAGCGATTGAAGGAAGAACAGTATAAAATAGGCCACGATCTTTTCTCCCTACATTAATTACTTATGGACATTTTATTGTTCGATGCTATATAACGTGTACAGTTGAAAGGCGTCATTAAATTATAAAAACTTGTTTCGGGAAGGACCATGTTTCCTTTTAATCCAAGTCAACAATCAGGAAATAAACAATGCAGTGTAATTTAGTACCTAACTACAGAATTTGTCTGAGATAACCTGTAAATCCTAAGGATTTAACGGCGGTCTGTAGATAATTTTGCTTTATTTCTTATGTCATGAGAGTGTTGTGTTTCGTCCGGTTTTTTGACGTGGATTGAAGCGGGAGGCATCCCATTCGGCTGGCAGCGGTTAACCAGATTCATAATCAAAGAATAAAAACTACATTATCTGGAATTATTCGTCAGCCATTTCAGTTTAACATATTGTGTAGTTTACATTATTGTATTTGCATTAAGCATTCTCACTGTCGTTCATCTGAACATGTATGACAATGATAGTCATACAAATAATGCAAGCAAACATTAATCTGTAACCATGTAATATTCCTGTTTGTGTAAGGACCAATTCTGCTGAGAAAGCTAAAGAACCAGCGATAATTTACCTAAACGTTATTAACCAGTTAATATTTATAATGGAGATGCGTCTTATTCGTTTCAAGACGGACCTGAATTTTTATATACTGTGTACTTGTTTAGGGTTTCAAAGGGCTAACAAACGCGTCACATTATTAACAGTGGTATTTAAATTTCTCAAACATTGCTTTGAGTTTAGACAGAGTGCATATTATGCAGGGATCAAAATTTTCAACAGTCTACCATCTAATCTCTCAAGTCTTGTAAATAAAAAGACGCAATTTAAAACAGCATTGAAAAGATACTTAATTACACACTCCTTTTACTCTGTCGATGAATTCCTAATGTCTACAAGTAAGTCGTAATTTATCCTTTGTTTGTATTTTTGTGACATTTATATGACTTGTATTTGTATAACATGTATTGTATTATTATGACTTATGCTACATCCCAGTGCCATTTTATCGTGTAGATGAAACAATGAAATTTATCTGGGTTACAGACTGGCGCCAAGTGGACAACTAAAGAACTTAAAAGAATAAAAGTATAAAACACATTTACGTCCTTGGTTGGCTGAAAATTGTCTATTAAGACAGATTTATCACAGCGAATGGATTCTAGATCCAGTTTAGATTGGAACGAGAATTTTAAATGAAAGAGAAGGAATACGCTCGCCCATCAGATAAAACAATCCGTAACGGACTTAGCATCATCTTAGATATGTAAGAAGATAATTTCTAATAATAATTTGAAGAGCTGGATGTAAAAGAATGAATAGGAAATTGTCAAGCGTAAGTGTGTATAATGTTAGTTCCCGGAATTAAGACATTCCAGTGGCAAATGCTCCGGTTTGGCTTTGGTTTGCACATGTTACATTTGCATACGAATTAGTTTTCAGACACAAGAAGACAGGAACGTGAAACATGTTCGAAAGTTTACAGTCTGACGAAGACGAACTGAGAGTCGCATATACATTTTACATTGATTCAATTTTCGTTTTAAAAAAGAAAGAAACCCCTTACAGTAAATTGGATTAAACAGCTTGAATTAGCTAGAAACGCCACACCGTATACGTGCCTTGGGTTTCCGAGTTGTGAAACTAAGGAAAAGCGGAAAGAAGAATAAATC